CTTGAGAGCCAAATTTTTAAAACTTAAACTATATAGGTAGGTACATTGTTATTAACTTAATTAGGGTACTCCTAAGCTGGCCTTTGCTAAAAACATCCTCAATCTGATTGAGGTACGTTCGCTGAGGTCGACCCCTTCCAATTCTTCCATCCACACTCGTCTTGTATACTTGTTTCATCTATCTCCTTTCGTTCATCCTCTCTATATGTCCAAACCATCTCAACATACCTTTCTCAATCCTCGACACTACATCTTCTTTCACGCCACAAGGTTCCCTAAAATTAACTTAATAAACTTTACTTAAAGTTTTAAGTCAACTTCGCACTGTACGTGCGCGCCCACACGTGGTATTTTGTGGAAGAGCCACACTCAAAGAGCTAAAGAGCCGCATGTGGCTCGCGAGCCGCGGTTTGCCGACCACTGTCTTAGTGGATTGTTCCTTTTTATTGCTGAAGAGTATTCCATTGTCTGGAACATAATACTTTATATTATACTTTGCTTATCCATTCTGATGATGGACATTTAGTTTATTTCCAGTTTGGAGCTATTATAAAGAAAACTGCTATGGACATTATTGTACATATCCTTCTATGTACATATGTTTTCATTTCTCTTGAGTAAATAACTAAAAGTACTACTTAGAGTAATACTTTTAACTTTATGAAAAACTACTAGAACAATTTTCAAATTAGTTATAGCATTCTACACTACTCCAGCAATATATGAAAGTTTTGATTTCACCACATCCTCAACATTTGGTGTTGTGTTTTCACCTTTTCTATTTTAATAATTTTGTGGTATATGGCATTGTGATTTTCATCTGCATTTCCTAGATGACTAGTGATTGATGTTAAGCATATTTTCTTGTGCTTATTAACCACTTTTATATCTTCCTTCATAAAAGGCCTGTTCAAGTTTTTTGCTGATTTTTTATTAGTTTTTTTCTTTTTATTATTGAGTTGTAGGAATTGTTTATATATATGCTGAATACACGTCCTTTATCAGATATAGGTATTGCAAATATTTCCTCCCAGTCTAAGGATCATGTATGTTTTATCAATGGTATCTTTTGATAAGCAGAAGACAAATTTTGATGAAGTACAAGTCTATCTTTTCTTTTTTATTATATGGTTAGTGATTACTAGCTAAGAAATCATTACCTAACCCAAGCTAATGAAGACATTTTCCTATGTTTTCTTTATAAAGCTTTTTTGCTTTTATAATTTTATCTATAATGTATTTCAATTGAATTTTGTGTAGGATGTAAGGGATGAGTCTAGGTTTATTTTTGTTTTTATATAGCTAGTCAGTTCTAGTAGTACTGTTTGTTAAAATACTTTCCTGACTTCATCACCACCAAACTAGTATTATAAGAAATGTTAAAGGAACTTCTTTAAGAAGAAGAAGAAAAGATAAAAAATAAGAATAACTAAAATGGCAATAACTACATACCTACATATCAATAATGTTCTAATCAAAAGAAATAAGGTGGCTGAATGAGGAAGAAAACCAGACCCATACATATGTTGTCTACAAGAGATCCACTTCAGGTTAATGACACACAGATAAAGTAAATGGATGAAAAAAGATATTTAACGGAAGTGGAAATGAAAAAAAAAAAGCTGGGGTAGCAATACTTATATCAGACATAATAAACTTTATTTATTTATTTATTTATTTTTTCAGTACAAACCAAAAGACTATTTCTTAAAGCAATTGGTAAAAAAATAAATAGTGAATAACACAAAAACCACAGGATCCTAGCCACACCTCCCACTGAGGTCTAAGGCAGGAGACACAGACACCTAAAGAGGGGAGGGAGAGGCCACAGTATGGTTCAAGAGTATGGCCTGGACACAGGATGTGGGCAGGGTCTGGGTGGTGGCAGGTATGGCAGCCAGAGAAGAGGGAGGGTTCCCGAGACGTGCCCAGGCCCTGGTCCGAGCTGCGGGCACGCCCACGCCTCTCAGCTCATCCTGGGCTAACCCCCCCCCCACCCCAACCTGTCTCTAGCCCCCTTTTCTCACACTTTCTAGTGAGCCAAAGCAGCCCTGCGGAGGCACACTCCCTCCTGTTTCTTCTGTCCTAAGCCCTTGTTTTACTGTCCCCAGCTTTAAAAATTAAGGAAATAGACCTCAGAGAAGTGCACCTTTCTGGCCTTTTGGGGAGTCTCGGGGTCCGGAAGCTGGGTGGGGGTTCCTGTAGACTTGAGCCGCCTTTGCAGTCGGAGGGGCAGCCAAGGAAGAGGCCAGGAAGGTGGTGGCTTCTCTCCTGGTAGATAGATGGCCACTCGGAAGGGCTCAGCTTCTCCCCATTCCTCAGTAGCTTCTACTCCCTCTGTCTCCTTTCCAGGTGGGTATGTCCAGTTCCTGAGGAGGGCACTCTGGGCCTGAAGGGAAGAACTTGGGCCTGAGCCAGCTGTCTCGGAATCATCTTTCTCATCCTCATTCTCCTCATACTCCTTCTCTGTGTCCTCTCCTGGCTGGTACACCCAGGGCCTCAAGAAGGTACTTGTGGGAGGAATGGAAGAGGGACCCTCAGCTTCTCCCTCCTCCTCAGATGCTCCTGAATCACTGTCTTCATCTTCCTCCTCTGTGTCCTCTCCTGGCCGGTACACCCAGGCCCTCAAGAAGGTACTTGTTGGGGGGAATGGACGAGGGACCCTCAGCTTCTCCCTCCCGTCCCCTCAGCTTCCCCTGAAGCGTTGTCCTCCTCCTCCTCCTCATCTTCCTCTGTGATCTTCTTGGGTTGATGCTGCCAGGTCCTGAGCAGGGGCCTGTGGCTTAGAACTGAGGAGTGTGGCTCTGGGTCGGCTTCTTTCTCAGCCTTTCCATCCTTTCCCTCAGATTCCTCCCCTGAATTACACTCACAGGCGCTGGGGCAGGAGCCTGCAGATTAAGAGGTAATGGAGGTCTTCCTGGTTTCTTCACTCTCTGTTTTTTCTTCCTCCTTAGCTCCAGCCTCTTCTTCCCCTGCAGCACACACCCAAGCACTGGGCTTGGATCCTGGGGATGAGGGGCAAGTAGATGTTGTTGGAACTTTATTTACAGCTTCTCCATCCTCCTCCTCCTCCATCCCTGGACAGTGCTCCCAGTGTGATGGAGGGAAACAGAAGAATTTCATCCCTTTTTCTTCAGCAACTCCT